AGTTTAGAGGCTTCACAGTGGCTGCTCCATTGTTTTGGCAGATTAAGGAACGGTGGTGGTGTGTTTGTTTTCCAAAAGGCTGTTTCCCGTGTTTTCAAATTTTGCCTGGGTTTGGCTTGAAAACTTGAAAACGATGTTTTCCCTGTTTTCTGTTTTGTGTAGAAATTTTTTTTTCATTTTCAAAAACTCGTTTTCGAAAATAGGAAAAAGAACGCGTTTTCACTGTTTTGAAAAATCGAAAACAGAAAACGATCCAAAACAGCCAAAGAGAACGGCCCCTTAGTTTTCCAAGGAAGATTGGTGACTGTTACAGAAGCTGTCCTCCTTGGCAACGAAAGTGTTGATGGAAAATATTATTACCTCGATGCTGATTTCCTTTGAGAAGTGAGAAGGTTTTGTAAAAAGGTATTTTGTGTGGTGTGTAATTGGTGTGACTGGGTCGTCATCGGAGGGTTGGTACTAGTGAAACATCAATTAACTCACATATCGTCGTTACCTTATCCAATAACTTTTCGCCCTTTAATGAGTTTTCCAAAAGAGGCGTCGAAGGTGTGTAATTTGATCGGTGTATCGGGGGTTAGGACGAATCAGTATTAGACTTTTTGGCCGGTCGATAAAAGAAGTAATATGCCCCTGCCTGAGAGAATTTTTTCTTCAAATTTTAATTTCTTTTTTTACCATCGGAATAGTTAGTAGCATGACATTTTTGACTTCTCCCTCACATTGGTGAGACCCAGGCTGTTAAGTAACGGTCAAATAATCAATTTTTTTGTCAAAAAAATCGGCTCCAGGCAGGGGAATCTTTCATTCTTAGCATACATGGACGGGCTAACCATTTATTTGGCAACATGATAGAACATGGGCATATATGGTACACCGTGGTTATTATTACCGCCTCAAGATATAATTGATCAGATGATCCAAGTAGTTCAAGGAGATTGGGGAGGTGTGCTGATGCGAATCCATGTAGCAATAATAGCTACCAAAATCACAACAAATTAGAATAAACTTAAAAAGCCAATAATGAACGTTTGAAAAGCTCGACTCAATAAATTATTGAACAAAGACAATCGCTAACAATATCTCGACCCTATGATTACAAAATTTATGAACGTTACTTAAATTGTGGAACGTCACAAGAATTTAATTCTTGATAAGTTCAAAATTAATTCAATGAAAAACGAGAAGAAAGCAATATATCTTGCAAGAATATCTCAATAATTTTGTGTGTTTACAATGAATGAAATGAATATGGAGCCCATAAAACCTACTTAAAAATAGAATTAAGCTTTAAAAATAACAAAAGATATCGGAAAATAGAGTTTTAACTTAAATAGAAGATTACGCGAAATTTGAAAAATTTGTTTCTAGAATTGCACTATGAAGCCGCGTGACTTCCTTTATGTGGCTGCATAGGCCAATTGTTAGCCTTAAATTTTGGTTCGGTATAGAGGTATGCGGTCGCATGCCTAGGGTCACATAGTTACTTTTTCCAACTTTCTCGTCCAATGTTTGGACCAAATTGATCCATTTTGCTTCTCCTTCCAAGTCCAACATGAAACTTGTTCTTTTGTTTGTTATAATCGACATTCGTTCACAGTAATTTGAGCAAGTAGTCATATTGCTTATTTGACCCGCTTCGCTCGCGACCTAGTCATAGGCCATTCCTCAACGATCAATGAATTCTTGCTGGACTTGCCTTCGTAACATGGATCACAGAATCCTCTTCCTCTTCAAAAGTATTTGACCTCGAATTTGAACCCGCATCAGAGAGAGAAAGATAAAAAAACAACAAAAATACAAATTATCATAAACTTACCTTGATGACCCAAATTGTAGCCATTAGTTTTAATTTTTACAATGATGTGGAATGATCCATATCCTATAGGATGTAATCTTGATCTTTTTTGCATTCGAACAAACCATTTTTACCTAAGCACTCAAACCCAATCACTTAGGTCGAATACTTTACGCTTCTTCATTTTTCTACCTTTATATGCATATAATTCAATTCCCTACTTTCTATCTAAGCTACCACTTACAATAATAGTTAAATGAATTAAACTAAACAAAGTTAACGTATTTAAACCATAAATCATATCAAATCGTGTAGTACAAGTAGTAGAGGATACTAAATTGATTCCCAACATATTCCATAAATTCGAACCAAAATAGTTAAGAATTTCAAGATTGAAATATAGATTCTCATGCCTCAAATCAACTAACAATGCACCCCAAAATGTCTATCACGCTTAATTAATTTCTTGCAACACATTAGAATATCATTAACTAGTAATTGATGGCCTATGAATGCATATGACAAATGA